TCTCTAAGATAAGAAGTTCTAGATAATTAAGTAAGAATAGCGTATTACGTTTTAAGTCGACTCTATAAAAATCGCTAATTAGAGTAAAGCTCTTAAATTAGTTTTTTTTAAAGTCGCGAGAATATAGTCTTAAGAGAGAGAATAGTTATAAGGGCGTAATTGCTTTAATAGTCTATAGCGAAAATATAGTAGACTCTTATAGAGTTAAATAGAGCGTATCGATTATAAAGCGCGATACTCTCGATTCTTTTAGTCTATAGTCTAGTAATAGTCGAATTATTCTCATAATTATATTTAATTAATTTTAAGTTTACTTTAATAGCTCCTTTAATAAAAACTCTTAAAAAGCTCTTAAAGAGCTTTAAAAAATTTAAAAAATTTTAAAGAATTTAACTCTAAGAATTAAGAGAGATAATTAATATATTTAGAGAAAGATTCTCTAAAACCTCTCTAATCCTTCGAAGACTCTCTAAAAACTCTTCGAGAGCTTCTATTAAAGAGACTCTTTATTAGATCTAATACGTTATAGACCTTAACGCTATTTATATTAAGACGCCGATATTATATATTCTATATTAGAGTTTCTTTTAAGATCTAGTTTTAATAATATATCTTATATATTTAAAGACTTAATGAATATAGATTTACTTTATATATTTCGAAGTTTTAATATTTTTTAGAGATTAATTCTATTATTAAATATATTATTAAATTCTATAACGATATTATATCTTTTATAATCTATATTTACTAGCTAATCGCTAATAAACTATATTCTTATAATTCTAATCTCTCTATCTTTTAAAGAAAAAGATCTATTATTATTATAATATTAGATTTATTTTTAAATTATATAATAGAAAATAAAGATAATATCGAAAGTCGCTATAGCGTTAATAATAAGTTTAAGAATTTCTTATTAGTAAAAGATTTTACTATAAAAAAATATTTTATAATCGCTAAAATCGAAAATTATTATTTAAAATAAGAATAAGAATTAGCTATATTAAAGGTTTATAATTATAAACTTTATAATATTAGCTTATTATTTATAATTAGCGAAGATTTATTTATATTAATTATTATTATATCTCTAGCGAATATACTAATTAAGATAAAAATACTTCGCTTTAAAAGAATATATTTTTATAAGAGTATTAATAAAAAAGAGTATCTACGCTAATTTCGCGAAGTCGAAATTAAGTTTCTTATAAGTTCTAAATATTTTATTATTAACTAATTAAGAATTATCTATTATATATAATTTTTAGAAAATAATCTTAATATCTAATAATATAAATATTATTAAATCTATAATCTAGAAGATATAACTTTTAAATTCTTTAAGTAATTTCTACTTAATTTAATAGCGAATTTAATAAATTATTATCTTCTTATCTACGAAAAAATAAGAGAAAGTTAAATAACGCTTCGATTAGAAGATATTTATTTTTAAGATTTATTTAAAAAAGCTAGAGGCCTATATAATCTTATTTTCTAAGAAATATTAAATTAATTTCTTTTTAATTAAATTTAAATTAGAGTTTAAAAATAAGATTCTAAGTACTAATAGTATATCGAAATAATAAAAAAAAATTCTTACTTAGATTATTATATAGAAAAAGATTTTAGAATATATACGCTCCGATAACGATTTTTATTCGAAATCTTCGAGAAGATTCGCTAAGAATAAGTCTCTAGAGAATTAAATTTCGAAGTTTAAATTAATTTTAAACGACGACGTTTATATAGCGCGTATTTAAGACGATAATATAAAGTATAAAATCGAATTCTTTAATCTTAATTATAAGAAGAATAATTATTTCTATTATAGTAAATAGAATTATTAAATATCTAAATATTTAAATCTTAATAAATCGTCTATAGTCTATATCGGCGTAGTATTAATAAAAAAAGATTTAATCTTATAATCGTCTTAAAAGCGAGATAAAAATAATAATTAATAAAAATAATTTTTTCTATTTTTATAAAGGGGTAGATAAAGCTTTAAAGTAAATAAAGATAACTTATTACTCTACTCGATATTAAGATATATATTAATTTAATTTTATAAAAGTTCGTAATTTAATAGAATTTAAAATCTTATAATATTATTTTATTATAATCGAAAGCGTTAAATAATTAAAGTATATATTATTATAGCGCGTATTAGTTAAACTATTAATTAATAAATAATTAGAATTAAAATAGAAAATATAATATACTCTTCTATACTATTAATTAAAAAGACTTTAATATTATATTAGATATACTTAAATTAAGTTAATTATAAGTATTATTAAATCTAGTAATAAAGTAATAGCAATTTAAAATTAACACTAATAAATTATAAATTAAAGAATTAATTAAATTTATTTAAACTATTAAATAGAAGTTAAATATATTTATAATTATATATATCGCGATAGCGCGAAGCGAATCGAAAAACGAGCGTAATCTAAAGCTTTCTTAGAAGTTATTAAAGTTTAATAATATTTTT